AAGGAGGTAACAGAGACAACCTTCTATGACCCTGTGGCCCTGGGCCACTTGCATTGCTTATTATTCCTTTGTTATTTTTTAGGGTGGATAATTTGGAACTCTTCTATAGACTAAGTTGTTTAACTTCACAATTTAAAATGGAACAATAAAGATGTTACTTAATTATAAGTTATTATTAATGGGGAAAAAATAAGAACCAAGATACATCATGTAAAGTTACAAGTTCCCAATGATAAATGTAAATGTACTGTATACCTAAAATGTATCAATAAAAGAATTTAAGGAAAAAAATAAACAAAGCTATTTCCTGATCTTGAAAAAAAATTATAAGCTATCGTTTGGTTGTGTTTCATTCTGTCAGAACATTATAAAAAAGTCAAAAGTTTGGTAATGGGATTAATCTTTATTTTTATTAGTACATGTTTGCAGTACGTGAAGATTATAATTATTGTGGGGAGTTGGTACATGTACATAACACATCTTGATTCTTTTTATGTCCCCTCTCTCCCCCTTCAATAAATATATGTGTTTTTTATGTATTTGCAGTGCTGGAAATATAATCAAGGGCCTCGCATATGCTAGGCTAGCACTCTCCAGCTGAACTACATTCCCAACCCCTAGCAGTTTATTAAGTTTGTGGTTCTCAAACTTTTTATTCATGGACCTCTTTACTTTTTTAAACATTATCAAAGACTCCAAAGAGATTCTGTTTATATGAGTTACATATATAAATATTTATCATATTTAAAAACAAAACAAAATTTTAAAATAATTCCATTACATGTTAACAAATCACATTTTTAAGAAAAATAGTTATCTTCCAAAATAATGAGTGAGGAGTACAATATATATATATATATATAGTGTCAGGAGCCAGTCTACATCATTTTGGGGAGAAATCATTTCATCATTTCACAATTAAATTATGATTAGGCCTAGTCTTCTTGCCTACAGGCTAACTATGACATGCTGAAACATAACTTCATTTTTTGCCTCCCGTCACAGCTGAGACCTCAACGGTCTTGTGATGCTGTGACACTCAAGGCCAAGATTACATCAGTTGAAGACATCCTGGTTCTTTGAGAACCAAGTAGTAAGAGAAAGGTTTCATCTGGGGAGGGACAAATTATCATCTTAACTCATCCCGCCTACTGTTGTAAGAGTCTTTGCTCATTTTACCATCCTAATCAACATAAGATCCTCATCAGCATAAGAACCTCATGGCCCTAGGTTTACTGCCACCCTCCAAGACATCTGATACTTCCTCTGATTATAAGATCCTTGTCAATTTACGATTATCACCATCCACTGAGTCATCTGTTACTCCCTATGAACCCAATAAATAATGGCAAACTTGGAGTGCCTTCATCTTTGCTGCCCAGAGCAGCACTGATCAGGCCCAGAACCCAGACTCCTCTCTAAGTCTCATTTCCTGTATTTATTCTTTAATTTGCCTTGTGCTGTCATGGCTCACTGGAGACCAGTACCCATTGCAGGGATTCTGGTAACATCCCCTTTCTCTGTTCCCTACATATTGTAATTTGACTCAATAGATGACAGCTGGATTGCTGGATTACCCTATCTGTTCTGTATTTAATCTGCTGTAATATGACCTGTCTTACAGCCTCTGGAAGACTCTATTGTATACTCATGAGAGAATGCATGAAGCAAATTAGTAATATTCTTAGTCGTTAAAAAAAAAAAATTCTTAGTCGTATTATTAAAATAGTTTTGACATTGTAAATCCCTGAAAGGGTCTTGAAGACTCTCAGAGGTCCCCAAGTCATATATTGAGAACAGTTGGTATGACCATTAATCTTGATATATCAACTTCATTGGATTAGGAAATGCCAAACACATTAAAGCATGTCCCAGGTATGTCTGGGTAGGTCACAGAGGCATGACTGTAGAACTGTATGTGGTCCTTTGCCCCTTTCTCTCTGGAACTGTTCCTCTGCTCTGCTTCCTAGCCACCATGAACTATTCCCCTTTCCTCCACAATGCCATTTCACTGTGATGTTCCTGCCTGGAGTCAGCTCACAGTGGACTGAATTCCCCCACACCATGAGCAAATTTAAACATCAACTTTATTATTTTATCCTCTGTATATTTAATTTTTGCCAGCTTTATTTGTCACAGGCTGAGAGGCCAATGAAATTGTCCTACTTTTATTGATTATCTTATGTTGAAATGCCTTGCTTTATATAATTTTGATCATGTACAAATGGATATATATATTTTTAAAAATGTTTTTTATATTTTTATTTTTAGTAGCTTAAAACAATCTACGTCTCTGTCACAAACACACACACACACACAAATCTGCAACTTGAGCAGAGCTCAGGAGGTGGGGAAGGCTGCTTTTGCTTCACACACCATCAGCTGGGGCTGCTCATCTGAGAGCTGGAGGGTCCATCTCCAACATGTACACTCTCTTGGCTGGCAAGTTGGTATGGGCTGTCAGCTGGGGTGCAGATGGGCCCACAGACTGGGATCTCCATTCTTCTCTCTGTGGACTTTTCCATGTGGCCCAGGCTCCCCGGTGGCATTGTGGCTGAGTTCCAAGAAGAAGCATCACAAGAGAAAAAAGGTTATTCCATTCTGAATTGATGATTTGAATGTAATTCTAATACTAACATGGTAACACCAGCTATAATCAAAGAATTCCCCATATACAGTCGTATCATTAGTTTCCATTTTTCTGCTAATTTTTTAAGCATGTAGAGCTTAACCTTCAAATCATGGTCAAGTATACTAAGGACACCTGTAAGAATGGCCAGGTATTTATTTATTTTGGTACCAGGGATCGAATTCGGGTCCTTGCACTTGTGAGGCAGGTGGCAGAACCACTGAGCTAAATCCCCAGCCCTTGGCCAAGTATTTAGATCCTCAGGTATGGACCTCAAGGCTAGCTGACAATGCACTCACTGGCCTTGGTCTTTCATTCTCCAGCTTTTGCATCATGGTGTTCCTGACCTTGGCTTGGTACCTAGATGCTGTGCTGTTCACCTGAACATACTTTCTTCTGCCCAGGTCTACCCCTGATCAAATGTGGATGTATGCTTTCTTGATCCCAGTCTGGAATATGGGGTACTTCTTTTACTTAATGATCAGGCTTGCTGGGATTAATCTTGAAGGTTACTCAAGTTATAAAAACTTAGTAATGGGCTGGGGATTTAGCTCAGTGGTTCTAGCGCCTGCCTCAAAAGCGCAAGGTCACGCGTTCGATCCCCGGTACCAAAAAAAAAAAACTTAGTAGAAAAGACCCAGGCTCTTTTTCCAAGTAGTGGTATTTCCTGAACACTCTTCCTGTGGACTGGGCTGCTGTGGTATTACCATTCCTGCCCTGCTTTGATAGATGTGTCTGTTCTTTATCCTCCCACTATAAAGCACCAGCCCATCCCTAAATTTCCAGGAGTGATGGGTGGTACCAAGGTTCAGGGGCTCTCTGTCAAGTTCTTAAGACCACCTCTAAACTTACTATTCAAATAGACTAAAAATTGAATGGCTCTTTGCGTATTACAGGGAATCTCTGGTAAGATATCTCGGAAAATTCTAGGTTAATATGATTGTTGTGTTATACTTGATGTAAGGCACAACCACAAAAAAACATGCTTAGGATGGTAACCAGGCTTCTCATGTCCAAAGAACATCATAATAACCAGATTCTAATGCCCAGTATTGACCACAGAGCCATACACACCAAGATCAAAGGTCAGGCTATCAAGGAAATGTGGCTGTCTTACCAGTAGATTATCAACAGACTAATGATGCTTAGTAGGTGAACAGAGGCTAGGAGAATCATGTTGAGTATAGAATGCATAATGCATGAGAAACACAGAGAATCAGGACTACTACCTACTCAAAGCCAAGCATAGTAACTACAGTCAACTAGAAAGACAACAAGATAAAAGATCCCCACAGGCAGATCAGCCAGGAAATGGCAGCTGCCCAGAGGGGGTCTGGTGAAGTCTGCATCCTGAGACAGGTCCTTACAGTTCCTGGTGAGACTGCTCAGGAACCAGGATCATGTAGGTAGGCATCATTTTGAAGAGAAGTATGAATACTCAACTTTACAGTGCTAATTACAGTTCAGTATTTGACATTTTTATCCTTCTGGTCTACAAGTCTGTGGTACTCATTGGTAGGATGGATTCGCCAATAAATAGTTTTACTTAAGTGAGGAAAAGAGGCACAGGTACATTGAGTGCCTAACTGGAAGGCAACAAAACCACACTCAGATCTTCCAACTCCTAATCCAATGCTTTGTCCATTCCTCCAAAGTAGATTATGTGGGTGAGAAGCTGGATACAGAAAAAAGAAAAACTCCAGCTGAGCCATTGGAGACTTCACAAGGTAAGAGGTGAGAAAAGCAAGGGAAATATAGAGCGATGACAATATTGGTAATGTGAGTTAGTGGGATGACCGATCCCAGTACCAAATTTATGTTGGGACATGGAGAAGTGGGAGTAGGGCCAGATAAATAATTTGTTTTGGTTTTGGTTTTTTTTTTTTTTTGGTACCAGGGTTCGAACTCGAGTCCTTGCACTTGCACAGCAGGTGGCGAAACCACTGAGCTAAATCCCCAGCCCCAGATAAATAATTTGGATGTTGACAGGGATTTAGCTCAGTGGTGCCGCCACCTGCCCTGCAAGTGGAAGATCCCGAGTTTGATCCCTGGTACCAAGAAAAAAAAAATAACAATAATTTGGATGTCATGTGTGTAGTAAGGCATCACCATAGTTTCATGTGGCTTTGAGATTACTCTGGCACTGATAGAACAGTCAGAATAGAAGAGTCTAGAAACATGTAATCCCATTAGCATACTGTTTCAGGAAACCAAATATAACATGGTAAGTCTTAGACTAAGATGGCAATCATGGAAGTAGTGAGGAATTTACAGTAAGACAGTCAAGTATTTAGTAACAGATTGTCTATGAACAAAAAGTAGAGTTCAAAGCTGCTTAAGCTCTGATGGTATACAAGAATGAAGGCCTCACTGGAACAGATTAGTGCCTTTATTTTGGAGATGTTAGATTAGATATGACAGTGTAAGAGAAAAACAAACAGCTTGAAATTTGAGATTATATCCCAGCTAAATGGCTAGAGGTCATTCTACAGAAAATGAATTTTGAAGCACAGGTTCAAAAGGGAAATAAGTTATATTAGATAATTTCTACAGTCATAAAAACCAACGTATAGCTTTCTTTCATATGCTTTTATTACTACTTATGAAAACAAGTTATGAAAATATTTCCTTTGGGATATACAGAAACTACAACCTTTACAAAATATACACACTCATAATTGTTACAATACATAATCTTGTGTATACCTTGAACACTGTTTCAGAACATACCCTGTAAAAGTCTAAAGAAACATTTTCTCTAACTTTAGTCATATATTGTGATATTCAAGTATTTAAGCCAGTGTTGAAATAAAACATATGTCTCTAATATATAAGGGATTTAACTTTCAGAGTCCAAAATTCTTTTATTAAGCAAGACAGAAAACTGGAGAGTTGATCCACGTCAGGTAGATACAGGAGTGGTTCACTTTCCATACTTTATCAGAGAACTAAGGAAGGAAGGCCATGGAAACCCACGTTGGGCCAGGTTTCTTCCCTGTCATTCCTATTGATGGAGCATGGCTCCTAAAAGATTATTTCTAAGATACCTCTGAGCTCTAAAATGCTGATTCTAATTATATATTTGCAAAACGATGGTTTTCCAAGTCTAAATTCCAGTACTGTTAGCTTAAAGTTGTGAGTGAGATGACTCACCTAAATAGATTTAATTTAGGATATGTTAGGTTGAAAGCATTAGTTAAAATCAGCATGCCTAAAGTTCCCTCTTGGATTGGAAAAGATCCTTTCTCACCAAGGCATTAATCCTAGAAAAAAGTTCCTTACTTTGGAAGAATCATGTTGAGGTGGGAAACAGCTTATAACTTTTCAACTCTGCAACTTAAGATGATGATAGTCTCAGTTAGGAGGCACAACTCCTATGGAGTTCACTGTGACAAAGTATAATGTGCATGTACTTCCTATATCTTCACTAACCTCCCATGCTTTCCCGGATATTAAATTCAATTTAACTGCAGAGTATTGGCAGGATGATGCTCCAGATAAAGAACATATAGTATGCATTTGTGATGTTACTTTTACTATCATGGTGCTGCTTGACTTAACATCATGCTGATATACTATAATTTTTTTTCGGTACCAGGGACTGAACTCGGGACCTTGCGCTTGCGAGGCAGGTGGAGGAAACACTAAGCTAAATCCCCAGCCCGATATACTATAATTTACCAGTGTTTTTTTTCTATGTAACTCTATGTAAAATCTATCAACTATATCCATAAATCTTTAATGTTTTTATAATTCCATAAGGGGAAAGGACTATAATAGGAAGTTAAACAGCAGAACTGTACTTCAAAAGTTATTTAAAAAATATATAGTTTAAAATCCTCTGAGTGTTGGATTTAGCAACAAAGGGAGATATCTATGAGGCCGACCCTTATGAAACTATGGGTTTTACCAGTTAAAATGGTCAAATCTTTGCATTTTCATACTGTTCAACCTAATAAGATCCTGAGAAAATTTTATTTGGCATCACTATAAATCAAAGAGAATTTATAGAAAATCACATCTCAAGTGAGGAGAAAGGATTCCAGGATGGAAATGTGCACATTGGTCATGCCAAGATTTCTGTCTTGTGACTTAAAGATTGGAAATCTTGAAATGTTAAATAAATTAGTGTAGTTTCAATAAAACAGAGGAAAACTAAAATTATAAAATTATAGCTAGTTGTTAAATGCCTTTGAAACAGAAAACGATTGACCAAATTTGGTAATTTAAAGACTTTTTAGGAGTCACATATAAAAGTCCCAGCATTAAAATGAAAAGGCACAAGTATGAGTTAAAATGTGATAATCATTTATAAAACTCTTGAAAATAAGGCAATTCATTTGTATTAACACCAGTAAGTAGGCACCTATACCAAATTTCAGCTTTGGTATCCTAGATGGAATTATGTTGCAAATTAACTAATACTAATTATAGCAGCATTATAAATTTCTTAGGCTCCTCACCACTAAAAGAACGTCTAAAACTTCCTCAACCTGTATCCCATCTGTACCAAAAATATATTTTAAAATTATATATATTAGTCAGAAAATGTTTTGCAGTTTTTCTTCAAATAATGAGCTTTCTCCTCTCACCAATACCACCCCAACAAAAAAAACCAAACAATTGGGCCGGGGATTTAGCTCAGTGGCACTGCAACTGCCTCGCACATGCAAGGTCCTGAGTTCGATCCCCGTACCAAGAAAAAAAAAAAATCAAAAGCTAACAAAACCTTGCTACTCCAAACAGACTAGCAAACCTTAATTAAAAACATACCATATTCAAAAATGGTACTTTATTTATGAAATTTATTAAATATAATCAAGGAATAAATGCAGATTTTCCAGGTGTGTGTATGTGTGTAGTATGTCTGAACTGGTTGATGGTATGCTTAAAAAAATATATAGATTTCAACAATAATGCTTCATTTGGAACTCTGAAGCCATTTGTGAATAACTGCTCCAGTACTACTGGCCACTACGCAGAGAGCACCACCCACTGTCCACCAGGTAGGCACATCATTAAAGAAAATAATCTGAAAGATAAAAGCAAAGACCACATCCATTGTCTTCATTATTGCCACAGGTCCTGCTTTTTCTATTTGAACTGCTTTCGTGAGAAGTATCTGACCCCCCAAACCCAAGAGCCCGATGAGTATGAGAAACAGCCTGTCCAGCCCACAGTAAGGCAGACTCCATTCTCCTAGTATAAAGAGGACGATGATGCTTTCAGTGAGGCCAAGTATGACATAATACCAAATGCTCAGAAAGTAGTCCACAGATTTTCCCATTTTTCTTAGGATAACTAGAGTCATTGCAGCAAACACGGCATGTCCAATAGCTGCAAATGTTCCCTGAAGGTGGACTGAATGGCTTCCTTCCGTCCCTGAAGTGTTGGAACCAAACAAAAATGGTGGTCTCACGATAAGGATCACTCCAGTGATTGTGAACAAGGTGAAGAAAGCATCCCAAAGGCTATACTTTTCCTTGAGAAATATCCAAGCAAACAGAGACGTAAACACTGGGCAGCTAAAGGAGATAACTGTGGCATCTGCGAGGGACGTTGTCTGGAAAGCATAGTATATAAGGATCATGGCAGTAGAACCAAGGACTCCTCTGAGAAGGAGGAAACATCGTTGACCTTTTGGGCCTATAAACCCAGTTCTGTAAATTCAAATGAAGAAGTGCATATTAAATGAACTTGGTATGTTTTTAAATAAAAAATGTTTAATGAAACATTTCAAAAATACCAAATATAAAAAATAAGGGAATAGTAAATTAATTATAATATCTATCACTGATTACATTTATACCTTCTAAAATATTTTCTAAGAATAAAATATATTTTCTAAATATAGCTGATATTTAAAGCGTTCATAGTATAAGTAAAAATAGCACACAAGAATCTCATAAATAGTACAATCATAAATCAGTAATTTTCCCTGTATACGTATAGAATTTTTATGCTTGTAAGAAAAAGAAAATAGGTGTTTATAGTAGTTGTACCTTACAAATACTCATATAATTTTCCTTATTTTCCCTAAATTTTCTATGATGAAAAAAAATGTCATTTTTATAATAAATTCAATTTCACAATTTACTAATACTGTATTAGGGAATTTAATCCTGGCTAATGCACATTCTCTGCTTCATGAGTTGTTTTCTTTTTTTCTATCTCATGAATTTTTCTCTAAAAGTTGAAGCAATCTAAAAAAAAATT